TTTCATGCCTTGGTTGACTCTAATAAAATGGAACGGTTTCTTTACATACGACATGGCGTCATAAAAACGTCTATTAAAGGCACGGCCACTGGGAATAGCTTTTGATATAAAATTAAGTAGACCAACGACTGATTGTAAGTCTTTGAGTCTGATCTTTTTTAGCGTTTCTTAAACAAACGAGACAGTTTTTCGCTTTCCTTATTTTTTCTAAAGGCACCTCACCATTTGATTGATTGAATCAATTTCAAGACCCAGGTATGTTATAGTTGTAACAGTCCCATCCATTTTTTTCGACACTTAGGGGGACACAAGTTCATTGCAAATTTTATCAAAGTTTGCATTAAATTCAAGCATTTTTCAAAAGATTTTTCTGCCATAAAAAAATCATCTAGCAGGTGATCAATATAGTATGATTTTGATTCTTTAGACACAAGCCATCGTAAAAACTTTGAAAAATTTTTTCAAAAATAAAACATGAACATGATGCGCCTTGTGGCAGCATATTTTGAATCCAATATCCCTCCTCGGTTTTTATACCTAATAAATCAAAATCGCCTGGCCATATAGGGCATAAATTAAATGCAGAAGAAATGTCAGCTTTTGCCATAAAAGCAGAACCCCCTATTTCTTGAACTATTCTTACTGCATTGTCGAATTGTGAATATTGAACATGGCAAAATTCTGGATCGATAAATTCATTTATACTGTTGCCTGGTGGGTATGAAAGGTGCGTTATTAATCTGAAACCACCGTTTTTTTTTGGTACGAGACCTACGGGATTTATTCTCAGATTAGTAATTGGCTGGTTTTTGAACGGTCCTAGGATTCGCCCAAATAAAAATTCGTCGTGAAGCTTTTTATTTAATAAGCATTTTTGATCAATTGCCGATTTGAGATTTTTGGAAAAAATAGGGATTCTTGGTCCGGTATATTCGAGCTTAAAACCAGTACTAAAGCCTTGTAAAATGTAATTGGCATCATCCTTATTTGGGTATTGAAACAGTTTATCAGCGAGACCCGAGATATTAATTGGTGAAAACCCGAGGTCCCATAGGCACTCTTTGAGCTGGCAATCCAAAACCTGTCAGGGTATTGATTTTTGGGCTGAAACTATGAAAGGCCCCTTTCATGACGCGGGGGTGAATTGCGCTGTTTGTTTATTTGCATAAAAAGGTTTAAGGGTGGTTTTCCAAAAAATTATGCAAATGTTTGTAGGACATGTCATTTGTCAAAAGCCCTTTTTTTTAATCTAAACATTTTTTTGAAAATTCGAAGTGCCCGGGTGGTCAAGGGCTGAATGCCGCATATATACATCCACAATTTTGGGTCAATTTTGCCACTTTACAACCCCAAAACGATTGATTTTTTTTAAACCTAAATTCCTATCGTACTCGAACCCTCCCACATTTTTGATGCCGCTAAACCGAATGTTTGCAAAATATTTAATAGGTTATTTGCTTGTTCTGGATGTTTTCATAATGAAAATACTCATGTACACCACGAATGCATCTGACCAAATTTTCTATTTTTTCTATTTGTTTCGGAATTTGCTCTTGGGTACTCATTATAAGTTCCCCATCAACAAGTTGAATCTTTTGTCTATTTTCTAACATATTTTTTCTTTGGCAACAAAGTGTGTAACTCTACAAATTGATTGTTCCATATCTTATCTTTAGTACTGACAGTTACATGTGCGCCTAGCATTGTACCAGAACAAGTATTTATCATGAAATTTTTTGGAAACTTCACCTTTATTAGCTTCTAGGTGATGAAGATCAACATCTACCGGAGGTCCGGATTGGCCATCCATCTCGTTTTCTGCACAGGGCTCCCTTACAGGTCTGTCAGCTGGAGGCATGGCTGTAAGAAACAGACGTTCGAGTGTTCCTCCTATTATTGACTTGCTGTTGGAGCGTGTCTCGTGTATGGCCACGTTGTTGGCGATGTTTTGGCATTGTCGAAAAATAAAAATAATATAAATAAATAAATAGATCTAAATAAATAAATTAAATAAATAAATTTGTGAAGATCTTAATAAATTATTATTATTAAATTTTTATTTGATCATGATGTATTTTATTTATTTCATACTTTATATATTTAGACTCTATTTACTCTTATCTTTATTTTCTTAGCCTAGATGAAATGACGTCATAGGTATGATGTCATGCGCGTGGATTTCAATGAGACTGATAATTTTCCCGTTGGAAAACATGACCCGTCATAATCGAGTTATATAAATAATATTGTATTTTTAACCATTTTATAGCTATGCTCATTTATTTAATCATTCATAAAGATAATGATAATATCATAATAATCTAGATTCGAAGTAAAGATCACGTGCTCAAACATCAAATAAATATACAGGTTTAAACTAGATCTAGATCCCAATTTTTTATTTATTTACTTAATATTTCAAAGAAACCTATTAACTTTGACATATATTTTGTGTAATCAAAGCATCCAAATTGATTTTTTAGACTACTGACCTTAACGAGAAAAACATGGGTCATCACCACGTGGTCATAAGATCTGGTCAAAGTTCTTATCTGTTCAAGTTTAAACCCCAAATAATAGAACAAATAATAACAGATATAAAAATATATCTAATTTCCTGTGAGATTAAATAATACTGATTCATTCAATATTTGATTTTTTTAATTTAGATTTTTTAAACGATAAAACTAGTCTACCTCTTCTATGGTGTCCACGAATGAAAGACCGTTCCCAGAATTTTTTCTGCCTTATATATGACATAATCCAGTGTAGGTTGTCTCCCCTGACAACTCTTTTTGAGGCCCTACTGGGGTGTTATAATAAAAATGTTAAGTTGTAAGATTTGAATAAAAGATTTAATCCTCTAGCGGATAAATCAAATATTAAACTTACACTCATTCATTAAAATGATAAAGAGATATTTATTTTACTGACGTCAACGTCATTACTTAATAATACCCGATGGACGGATACTCCTATCTGAAACACAGATACATATGTCATGCATTTTATGCATATTCGACCATATTCTTTGATTTACCTCAATTAATAATTTTTTTAATGGAAATCAATGTATTTTCATCAGTGTTCTGAACATGAAAGTTTTAGACAACTTCGGGACAAAAAATGTTTTTTGTCCCAGGACAACTGCATGCCTATAAACATATCATTGCATATAAACGACTAAAGAAAATTCAAGATATTTTAATTCACTCTTAACTGAACAGTGTGCCTAGCTAAAACTGGTAGTGTATCAAAGTGCAACAGACATCGCGTACCAAATTATTTAAAAATATGTGAATCTTATGCATTTACCTGCAAGTACTAACAACATACCTTGGTATGATATGTCATGTAATTCATCTGATGTGTTTTATGTGATTACATTTTAAATATGTTAAAAAGCGTTAAACAAATTAGTAACAATGTTCCAAATGTATGCATAGACAGTCGAAACGTCAGTATGTAAAAGGGAATATTCAGATTTTGCAACTGGCTATTTATTTTTACTAGGACCTTTTTACTAATCATTAATGTAGTTGGGTCTTTCAAAAAGATTTGAATCACTGATACTGCTTACATCGCTTCCTGACAGTTATTGTAAAAATAAGAATTGAGGATGTCGAAAAAAATTCTTCTCCAATGGAATACGGCCCAACCAGCTCCGGATTAGGAGTTCAGTGCCCATCCACTAACTTCAGAGAAGATATATCTATGACGGTCTGAAACTCATCAGAATTAAGAAGATAAGTAGTACAGTGGCCTAGATTCTGCCTCTCAACCAAGGGATCGTTTGTTCAAGCCCTACTTGAGTCACGACAACAAATTCTCTTATAACACCACTACTGATAATATTTAGGAAGTATAATTTGTAATTTGCAAGAACAAAATTAATGTTTTACAACCGAGCCCAATAGATATGTTTCAAAGTTAAACTATAACACCCTTCGTAAAGTGGGACGACAATGGAAATGATAGGTTTCAGATTCTCATGTGTCGAGGCAACAGATTAATTTATGATGTGGAAGCATTTGTTATAAAACATGTAGGACCGTGGTTCCATTTGACAATAAGACTATAGAAAGTGTAAATAGCCACTGTTTTTTAAACAAAGCTGTCCATATTTTATTAACGATACGGTAAATGGGGGTTAATTGACATTATTAACTTTTATGGAATAGTTAATTGTTGAAAGGAATGCGTTTTAGCTGGACTGGTTATAATTATTTTAAATGTAGGCCACATAATAATCAATCTTGTAGTCTACGTGGCAATAGTGACGCCAAATCTGTGCAATTTATGACCGTGACGAGCACTGACTAATAACGTTTGAGTAAACCAAATCACAAGAAATCAATTAACGCACATGGATGTTAAGACATCATGTTTTGATGCGCTAATTTATTTATTTCAAATAAAGGAACAGAAAAAGAAAATATCAAGAATAGTATTATATCGCTTTTGCGTCACAAGTCAGAATAAATCAAAATGTTTATCAATTTTGTTCAATAATTTAAAGCTTACATTTTATTTTTTCTCTGATGTGAAAGCCCTTTTTGTGGGGACCATGACATTACGCTTTTAATGTTGCTAGAAGGCTGCTCCCTTTGTTTCGTTACTAGTAATCGCATCAGCGTGAATTGAGTAATACGACAGTCTGGTGTTGTATCACTACATCACACTTCCATCACTTGTTCTATGCTCAACTTGATTTCCTCAACAACAATAAAAAAAAATACAACAAAAATACAATTAAAGTTATGGATTTATCCGGATTATTTGTCAACTCATTAGAGTATGAAAAGATGAGTGTATGACGTATAGGACGCAGTTGCCACAGACAATTAAACAATAAAACAGTATCGGTTACCCATAACTAGCCATTCTTTCTTATATCAACCACTCTATCAATATTCAGTTAACGTTTTTAAGTATTTGATAATTAATTGATACGGATGAGTAGGCAGCATTGATTAATTGCTGGTTGAAAAAAAAAAGAAATACGTCCAATTCGTATTTAAGAATTTTAAGAATTCAGAGAGAACAGCGTTCAAGTCGGAATATTTTAAACATTAAAGCGATAATAATATTAAACTAAGTCTTTCTAAGTAAAAAATAAATGTTATATCGATAATGAAAATTTCAGAAAGCTCTTTTTACGCCTTGGTGCACTTAGTGATGAATCTAGTGGTCAACGTGGTTTGCCAAGGTAAGTTAAAATTCACAACTTAATTTATAGAACGGACTTTTTTCCTGTGATGAATTTTAGAAAATATTATTTATATCGGTTGCTGGCGTGATATACGTGAGAATATAGCCAGTAGATTAATATGACCAGAGACTAGATGGTGCGACAAATATTACTACATTTTCCGTTTATCAGTTTATATTTTATATATAAGATATATTGCAAGTTCTTTTACTTACTTTCTTAAATACAATAAACGATATAAGTAAATATCATCTATCTATATTTGCAATCCAATTGTGTTCACATATGTATCGTCACGTGTTAAAGCAACATGCCTCCAGATGAGTCAAAATATTTTGACCACTTTTTGGTAATTTACGTGTTTGTAAGTGCCATTGATAATGTGTAATTTGCTTCTTTTTGGTTACCTCACAATATTACACATTGACATACATTTTCAAAATGTTCATGAAAATTCGCATGAATCGTCCAGGATGGTCCGGGAGCATCCGGCATTCGTCCCCGGATGGAATAAAATATTTAATATCACCGGGCTGGTCCGGTTCACTGGTCCGGTGTGACCCGGGAAGTATAGCTTTGCCGGCTTCACCCTTAGCTCTGCCGGAAACGACCAGAGATACACCGGTGAAGCACCGTATCTCTGTCGCCACCGGGAATGATCCGGGGTATGATATAGCCGGTAGAGCTACGATAGAGCCCCGGTGAAAGCCGGCAGAGAACTGGTGAATGCCGACAGAGACCCGGAGGATGACAATGGAGCTACGGTTGATCCCGGTAGAGCCCTGGCAAAGCCCGATTCATTTCAAAAGAATCACGACAATTTGCGATGATTTTAAAACCCTTCTCCATTTCCCTTCTGTCCAGTTTTGCATAAGGATTATTAGAAAATCATCATGAATTACTTTTAAAATTTGAGAAAAAATCATATATTATAATAGAAATTATATTAAATGGACATTATATGTATCAACTTCATAATTATCGCGCGATTTCAATCCACCTGGGTTCTACCGGGGCTCTGCCTGGATCGATCGGGGCTCTGCCTGGGTCAACCGGGGCTCTACCGGCGTCATCGGGAAGCACCGGCATGAACCGTAGCTTTACCGGGCTCTGCTTGGATGGTCCGGGCGCATCCTGGGTGTAACTTGAGAATTACCGTAGTGCTGCCGGTGTAAGTGTGACCGCAACAATAATTTTACCCGGATCGTCCCGATCATCCCAGTAACTTATCGGGATGGTCCTGGGCTCTGCCGGGAGTAAGTGAGACCAGCTTAACATTCTTTAACGGTTGTAATGTACATGTATATTGATTTTTTTTTCAAACGTAAAGAAAATGACTTAGAATGTTCATACAATAGCAGATGTTATAATTTTAACAGTGATGTGTGGCAGCTGTGAAAAATTCCCCGCACTTCATAACATGGTTGTTATAGATAGCTGGTCCTTCAGCATCATATATTGTAATACCTTTAGTACTGGATTAGTCGGTGCTAGCGAGCGGGTGTGAGAGAATTTCCTCTTTTCATTATTTCACATGAACAGACTCAATAAGACCGATGAACATACTCAATAAGACCGATGAACAGACTCAATAAGACCGATGAACAGACTCAATAAGACCGATGAACAGACTCAATAAGACCGATTTTCAGCTACACGTAAACGCTCTGATTTGTTTTCATTGGTCCTGGTGGATCTTTACTGCCCAGAATGCTAAAGTGGGAACTATAAATTTATGCAATAATAGTAAAGTAAAGCATGCAGGACTTGCATGGCATGCAAGAAAAAGGTATGCACAATCTTATTTTGAGTTTACATATATTTATGAATGACGCAGGGATGGAGAGAGTATCGCTAGATTTTGCCGAAATTTCGTATACATGATGTGCGTATTGTCTTATTTACACATAAATTCTATTTTCAAGATGTAACATTAGTAACAAACATTGCCGAAGGGAAGAATGCCTACCAAAGTTCGGATGCGTTTAGTGCAGAAGGCGGAGCTCATTTTTCAGTAGATGGGAACTTTAATCAATACTGGAGTGGTCAGTCATGCTCGCACACTAAGACGGAGTTCGGAGCTTACTGGCAGGTAGATTTAGGTGATATCTACGTTGTACAGGCGGTCAGTGTATACAACAGGATAGACGACTGTTGTAGTGAGTATTACCATGTTAAACCTTCAGGAATATAATACAATGGTTTACACTGTTATTTAGTCAAAATACTACCACTACTGAGAGAAATGATGATGACTATGTTGTTGTTGCTGTTATGATGTTGATGTTGCTGTTATGATGTTGTTGTGATGATAATTATGATGATGAAAAGGAAAAGGTGATGATAATTTGTTGATGATATTGTTGTTGTTGTTGTTGTTGTCGTCGTTGTCGTCGTTGTTGTTGTTGTTGTTGTTGTTGTTGTTGTGATGATTATGATGAAGGTGATGATAATTATGTTTATGATGTTATTGTGATGATGATGATGATGATAATGATGATGCTGATGATGATGATGTTCTTGTTGTGATGATGATGATGATGAAGATGATGATGATGATGATGATGTTGTTGTTGTTGTGATTATTCATGATGATTATGGTGCTGATCTATGCTGATAACCTTACAAAAATATCAAGTAGCTGTTATTAAACCAGATTTATCACTGTCGAGAGTAATTTTCTTCAGAATGACTGGCTATTATATTCTCAGTACATTACAAGTGGTCATCTCAATTTAGCCGTGTTTAATTAACATAATATATGATAAATGTTAAGCATCAGTCATTGGTACACGGTCCACCCGCAGATGATAAGAGGCTATGACTTTTGGACTATCAAACAATCGGTAAATGCTCCCGCAGATGGAACTGGGCATTTCCAATTTTCCACTACTATATCGGCAAACAAGGACCCGATGACGGGGGGTGGGGGAGACGGGGTTTAAAAACGTCTGTCACATACACTTTCTGAAAAGGTGGGACAGTTGCAATTGACCGGTGCATCTTTTTTTACAGATTATCTCCTTATCGGTATCGAGGTACTAATTGGAATGACAAGAGACACGTACAGGGTGGTAGGACATGAAGATGAGCACATCTACACTAACCATACGTTCCCATTATCTCCACCAGCTTTTGCGAGATGGGTCCGAATTACGAGGAACCCCGATTTCAATTCAGCTTTGATGCTCTGTGAAGTGGCAGTGACTGGCTATAAGTCAAGCTCTAGTAACACTTCTTTTCATTGTTTTTTTTTTCTACATCTTATATACAGTGTACATATCTGCTAATACATTTTATATATACAATGTATTGAAAATTGCAAGATTTTTTTCGAAGGTACTCAATGTGTCTACTTTGCCGATGAACAGGTTTTATGGCTACAATGGTATGATCTATTATTCATGTTCTTATCGAAAAGTCGAAAAGCCGAGAGGATATGTGATTGATGCTCAAGATTTTGTGCACTTTTCGACCCTTTTTCTAAAACTTTGGACTAGAATAACAGGTGATCGGTGAGGTGTGCCATATGTCACATATTAGAGCGTTTTCGCGCGCAAAAAAAAGACAAACAAAAAAACAATAACCTATATATGGCAAAACACAACATAAACATATATTAAGCGTCGTGTTTTCTTTTTAATTTATGGGATCCACTTCCATCAGTTTTAAACAGTGTAATGACTTATATTTCACTGGATGCATCCTGTCGAATAGCTTAAGTCAAAAACCTTGTTGTGTGTCTATTACAGGAAGCTTCAAACGGATTTCTGACGTGACAGGGACGGGAGAAACCCTTGATACGAAGTTTGCCAGGTCTATAGAACACTGTTGTTACATTTGTTTCATCACACAAGACTGTTTGGCAGTTAAAATGGACAATTCTCAATGTTCTTTACTTAACTCGGATAATAACCAGAGTGAATTAGGCCAAACCTTGTACGTTGTCAACTGATTGTTGTCAAAGGGAATTCAGTGGTAAATGTGTTTCATATAGACCTTTTTACAATACGATATTTCCATAAAAACGGAAGTTTCATTTCGCGCATGTGCATTCTGCGTAGGGCAAAATAAAAAGCAATAACGGAAAAATAGATTTTATCAGTGATAGCTTGGTTTTCCTCCTTTTTGGATCGCACAACCCAACAAACTTACATATCCGGTTTATATTCAGCAGGGGGTCGAACGTATAGCGGTGTGATACTTTTTTAAGCGAGGTGAAATGGTGCGACACGGAATACTGGCAGATTTAATACTATAAACACACATCAGAGTGTGTATATTTTACATAATTGAACAGTCCCTGGCTATTAAAATTGCAATTTTTTTGTGGATGGCTTGGGACTCTGACCTACATGTATTTCTTCGAAATCATAGAAGTTTAGGTAGAATAGTAAAAAAGTTATTGAACGTAAATTGGCAGTAACAGATTTTATGCTCGTCATAAGATTTAAGCCAATATCGTGAATGTTAGTTGCTATTTCTACTTACAACTTACGTAAATACTCATTATTGAGTTGCATTGCAAAAACTACTGTGCTAAGATATATATTTACACATTGTTTGTCAAAATATGTATGTGTACGACAGGTTTTGGTGCGATAAGATGACTGTATGCCACAAAAGGTCCGATAATTTGACAGTGCTGAAAGCTACTTAAAAATATATACCATAAATATTTTTCCCGGGGTGGGAGGTGAGGGGTCACTGATTACTTACGGCAATTACCTTGCTTACACCTGGAAGTACACATGGTAGCAAATTCTTTAAAAGTCGTCTTTTCCATATCTTTTAATGGCAATCTTGGCGACAAAGCTATAAAGGCATCTTTTGTTGTTGTTTTTAAAGCTATTTAATATATATGTTTTTTTTTTTACTTTTCAACATCAAGGTACTCAGAATTGTCTTTGAACTTTGATAACATTTCACTACAAGGCGATGATCTTTTGCTCTACGCAGTATGCGCATGCGCGAGAAAATAATACATCCGGTCTATTTTTTATGGCAATGGACATATGTAAAAAGGTCTGTTGGTGCGTGAGTGCGCGGCGCATGTATGTGTGTTGTTGTTTGTTGTAGATGTGTTGATGATAATCATCTTGCTTGTTGTTGTTGTTGTTGTTGTTGTTGTTGTATCAGTCAAACCAGTTTAACCTGTGATCAAGGCCAGCATAGAGAGAAAGACAAAACATTGTATATATAGACGAGTGGTCTTTATTTGGAGGTAATTTATTCCAATTTGTCGATGAAAGGTTATAAAAAGTGGCCTTTATTTGAAGGGTTATATAATTTTTTATTAAGAGGTGGCCTTTTAAATAAGTGTGACTTCTGTTTTATCGAAAAAATTATCATTATTGTTATTAGTTATATCAATTATAAATAAAAACACATTTTTTCATATTTTGTTCTGTATATACATTGATTTTATACATTGATAGAAAACTATTAGGACATCACGTTAAAATGTATAGGTAAGTCGGCAGATATCTGTCTTTGGAAATACAAATGTATTAACAAACATTGATTTAACAAAAGTAAACACACATGAATGATTATGACTGAAAAATCCATTGATTTACTTGATTTATCCTTAGTGGTTATTAAAATTTGAAAAGGGTTAGTAATTGGATATGACAATGGTATCGGGGCTAATTGGAAATTTAACTGTTATTAAATGTATTGTCAGTTGAATACATATTTGCAGAGCAAAACATATAACTTGAAATGATAATGGATATGCGGATTCATCATTGAATAATAAAACAATTAATAACTGTTATTTACAAACAGTTTCATATCGAGCGAATGCAAAAAAGAGAAAAGATTGTTGTTTGAAGAAATATACAGAAATGATTATCTAAAAGGAGAGATATAATCCTTAATAGAATCTAGTATATAAATTATTTTGAATTGAAATCATATATAGTTTCCTTCATTATGCGTATATTTATATGATATTTTAAGTTTAATTTAATTCCTATTATTTTGTCTTTGCTGTATTGTAGATATGGCGAATATATGTCGGGATAAGCCGAAAGTATGGAAGCTGATTTGTGCCATATCACAGATATATATATACCATTTCGCTCCACGGCCATATGCTCCACGGGGCGCCAGACGAAAATACGACAAGTGAACTACTTTGTATAGTAATTTCACTCTGCGGGGCGCCAGACGAAAACACGAAAATAATACAACTAAGTAACCACTTTCATGTATTTCCGCGTGGCGTCCCGCGGAGCAAAACATACCACATGGCATAAATCAGCCACCATACGAGAGAGATAATTGTATCCTATATATATATATGTCTGCACAACCATAAAATGAGAATAATTTTGTTGAACAATGGCTGTCGCTATTAATAATATAACCCGAAATAAGACCAAATCGTGTCATTTTTTTCATACAAAGTAGACCAAAAATAAATTTTACACATTTCAAAAGCTGTATAGTTATTACAGCACTTTGTACCGAAACCCTTACAGCCATTTCACGACCAGTTTTTTTTTCATTCTTGTCATCGCAGTTATTTTCTTTCGAATAATAATAGGTAGGTTATTATTACCAGAGGCTGTATATTTTGGAACATATTGAAGAAAATTGGACTATACTGAAAGGTCTGTTATACAATAAATAACAACGTTGATTTTAGTATTTAGTATTAAACATTTCAACAAATAATAAAAGAATAACAAATAGATATTGTTGACAAGTGTGTAGTGCATGTTCCAATATTTTCATATATGTAGACCATTACAGTAGATAATAAAATGGTCTAGAACAAAATATTAAAGGTATTCATCTTTTGAATGTTTATTATCATGTTTAAAT